CTGCTAGTTCTAGCCGTTTATCAAGCAGTTGGTCGTATTTTTCAGCTATTTCAGACCTTGTTAGAGCTTTGATTTGCATTGTTAGTCGACGTCTACTCCATGCTAGTACATAGTCAGTAGCATAGAACAAGGCTTATATATATTATATATTATAGGTCAGTAGTACACATATATGAAGACAAGGAGTACACAATAAAATATATCATAACCAATATATTACTGGCCGCGTTGCTGTGAAAGATCATGAGAAATAAAATTCGATAATCATGAATGGTTGTGCCATAGTGATTCTCTGATTAACTAACAGACGATGAGTTTGCGACGGTGCAATGCATTTTTTTTAAACACCGGTTAAGATATAATCAGTGTTTAGCTAATCAGTGTTTAAAGCGAGAATGGTGCAACCGGGGGTAAGTGTTGGAGAGTAACTAGTTGAGCAACTGACGAGTAACTCAAGTGAGTCTACAAGAGTAACGAATCCCCAGTTGGTACTGTTTTCCGCAGGATTCACCCTGTATAGTTTCCAATCGCTGAACAATCCGAATACTTAGTTTTTCCATTCTGTTGGTTTCAGCGCAATGTATCGCGCCCCTTGGAATGGAAAGCGGATTGATCCAGGACGAGGACATTTCAGCCAGTTCGTCTTTCGACTTTAAATACTTGGCTCCCCATCATGGAAGGTAAGTCGTTTCACCCAACCCACCCCCAAAGGATCATTTCGCCTTCTACGACAAAGTGCTGTTTTGGGGCAGGCCTGGGTAACACTGTTTTGAGCGCTTTTGCGTTGTTGCCGCTCTCTGAGTTAATGAGTTGTAACTCATTTATTAAAGTCATCAACTGAAAAAGTATGAAATACTTTTTTTAGCAACGTTTTACCACTTTGCCCAAACAACTAAGCAAAACAAATTTTTCCGGCGTTGCGTTGTTACTCCTAAAAATTCACCGAGTTACCCAGGCCTATTTCAGAGGGAATCGCCGTGTATAATCGTTACTACCGAAATAAAGAAGGCCCACTGGCTGAATTGTGACGTCACTTAAAGTAGTCCGACCAGGCATAACGCGTATCGGAGTATATGATGAATCAACTGTACGAATATGAATATTTTAGACAAAAATAATGACTTCAGGAATTAATATGCTTTTTGCATTGCTTGATTTAAATGATTAGCCTTTCTATTCCTAAAAAAATGAACGTATTTAACTAGCCACAAATATTTTAATTTCAGTTATAGCTTAATATTTCATGTTTCCGAAGCGTTCTAAATGTTTTAAATAGTGACGAATACAATTGCTAATAATCTACCAACTTTATTTAGTGAGAGTATCTAACTTTCTTTTATTCCCCTTTCCAATGGTGTCATTTCTTTTGCC